CTCCCCTGCAGTTTGCGACTGTCTCACTTGACTGACCTGCTTCTGTCCTGTGTGTGTTTGCCCTCGCTAGACTATCGTTCAACCAGATGGCTCCTCGGTAGCTCTTTTACACCAAAGTCCCCAGTGCCTGGGGTGGAAGAATCTGGCAAAGACAACTATACTAAAAGTAAAATCAACAGTACAGAAGGCTCCTCCCACTGAGATAAGAGTCCCAATCTATATGAATACAATCCCGGTGCACCCAGACTCCAAGAGGACATTTAACCTGTATCCGTTCACAGCCCAGGCTCCTAAGTGAAACAGCTTGTTTCCACAGAGGACTCAGCCCTGCAGACTCATTTCCAAAGACAGACAGACAGACTCCCCAGGAGGAGAGCACATGACTCCAGCTCTGTGATTCAGTGGAATCATGTAAAATGCCACCAAAATGCCCAAATCTGCTTACCCTGTCTTGACCATGTCTATTAACACGCTCAATACCATGGCCTACAGATAACCCTCAGCTGGATCCACACCTTCTCACATGATTACATACTTGGGAGTTCCTGCTCCAAATGTGTGATTTGGGGCCCTGGGCAAGATAAGCAGCAGCAATGGGAGTAGACAGGAGGAGGAGCCATGAAGTCATTAAACCAGGGCAGCACTCACTCCAAGGGTCACAGTTCCCTGGCCTAGGCACTTCACAGGCCTCTCTCTAGGGTCAGCATTGTAAGCCATCCTTAGCACAAGAAAGGCCTTCAAGGGATGGAGAGACTTGGAGAAGTGGCTCCTGCCCTCAAATACATGAAAAGGGATGGAGATTTATTCAACGCTATTGTGGGAGACAAAATGTAAGCCCAATTTCAACTTCAAGACATTGTTACAGACTAGGGACTGATATTTATAAAATACGAAACACTTTATACAGCGATATCGCTCATCCACACAGCTGAGCTGCTGTGTTATCACTGGCACAGGAGAAGTAACCAGATGGGCCACTGGCTGGTGTGAGGACACTCAGTTACCGTGGAGATTGTGATAAACAGGGCTGTAAAGCCCAAGCTCTGAACACCAACACCAAATTCTGCGTCAAATTATCACAATTAAATCGGAATATTATATTTTAGCCAAACCCCACCCAGCCTTCTATCCGGGATCCGGGATGTTACAAAACAGACCTCAAGAGGGAATAAGAACATATGCCTCCAAGGGGTGCTGCCAATCCAACATGTGAGCAGGGATTGGACGTATGCTAAGATAGCATGCATTTCAGCTGCAGGGACCACCAGCCTGGGGGACACTCTCTGACATTGGGTCCTGTAATGAGAAAAGTCCAGAGACCTGGTTTTGTCCCCTCATTAGCATTAGAAAATTAAGATGGACTGTGGTCTCCCACCCAGAATTGGGCAGAACCAGCTGGAAGCCCTCTTTTGAAAACCTGACACCTGACTCCCATTCCAAGCAGTTAGCTCTGAATCCCTGGGGTGGGGGGAGCAGGGAGGCTCTAACCTTCAGGTGACTTCAGCAGACAGGCAGGATAAAACAAGTGCTCTGGGTGGCATGGCAAAGAAGTAGGGAAATGATTAAGTGATGTATAGGTCTGATTTTTTTTTTCCCAAATCAATCACTAGCTATAAAGCAAGAAGAGTTCCAGCAATCTGAATAAACTGTGTTTAAACATCTCTGGCCTCCTGTAAGTTTTTTTTAATTAAATTATAAATCTTGCTCCAACTGCTCACTCCTTGGGACCAGCAGACCCTTGACGTCTCGACCACAGGTGTTACAGAGCTCTTTTTGCTTTTGAGTGCATATTCACACGTTCTGGTACACAGCAATGATGATCTCTAAAGATCTGAGGCCAGAGTTAGCTGCTTATGCATTATAATTCAACCAGTTCTCAGGAAAAAAACAAAAACAAAAACAAACAAACAAGAAAAAACCAGACCTGTGTGTATGCTGTTAAGCAAATATCCAGTAGTAAGTTGGCAAAACAATTTGTTTATCTGATTTATGAGATCAGTGCAGCTCTAACTCTGTCCTTTTGGGTGCTCTGGTACATGTTGATTAAAACACTGAAGTAAGAAGTGACAGCCCCGGGAACATGCCCCATGGGAGGCCCCAACCAGTGACCAGATACACTCCCTGGAGTGTGAACATTCCAGATTGAACAGATTGAACAGATACCACGATGACATCTACCTGTGGGTCCGAAAGATTTCCATCACCCGTTCAAACCTAAACCAGTGTAGTCAACCCACACATCCTTCAACACACATCATGCTTATTTAACTAACCATGCCTTTAGTGCATGCCTTTAATACCAAAACTTGAAGGGCGGAAGCAGGCTGATCTCTTTGAGTTCAAGGCTAGCCCAGAACTACACTGATGTCCACTACATGTAATTTGATACTGAAGTCCACTACTTAATGATTTGATATTCAAAGAGCTGGTAAATTGGAAGGGCTGTTTCCTTCCTGTCGTCATCCATGAACCTGAATAAGAAGTAGGTACTTCCTGCACCCTCTGTCTACTCCAGAAGATACACCTTAGGTGCTTCTCATGGGACCTCGTCAGCACCCTGAGTCAGCTTCTCAGGGAAGTTCATACAGCTCTTATTATATGGACTATTTGGTGTGTAGCTCAGGTCATGGGCTTCAGAGCAGTTGTCCTGTTTTAATTTACTATCTTCACTGTTACAGAGAGAAATCCAGGTCTCAAATAAATAAATAAATAGAATTTACTCATTTCGCCAATGATGCCAAACTCCCTTCAGGCATTCAAAGTTCTGTCAAAGCACCTGATGGTATAGAGACACTCATCATTGGGGAACGTGTAGTTTGTGATGTCATGCTACCTGGCCATTCAGCTAGGATGCTGACACATTAGGCAGCTATCCATAGCAGTAACACTTGCACTTAGAATACACGGCATCTCTGTGATTATGGTGTAAATTACAGCTGACCTGGCAGTCATCGTGTAGCTCGGGGACCCCTTCGGGCCCTCAGAATTGTGGGATCTTATTTTCCTATACGTCCGAAAGTGTTCTTAGTGGCTAAGGGAAGGGAATGGCTGTATGTCTAGTAAGTTATCTGGTTTATTTGGGAGCTATTGATGGTGCTTCTAATAATGCACAGGCCTGCGGCTGAATTCGTTCCATAATTTATATTAAAGATGGTCTCACAGAAGACAACCCCTGCTTATTCCCAGGGCCACTGGAGCCCGGGAACTCAAAATTCTAAATGATGATGGATCAGGTTTTGCTCCAATTAATTATGTGCTCACAAGAGCATCAGTAACTTCCCCGAGTTAAGGAAGCTGGATTGGTACTCGGCATTCCTTCCAATGTACTGTCCATGTTTATCACGTAAGCTTGTGATACACTTGAGGGCCAACCAGAGAACATTCCTGGAAACCAATGTGATCCATTTTACGTTACATTTCATCCTATGAAAGCAAATCCGTATTTTTCACAAATACCTAGAGGCAGATAGATGTTCAACCTCGCATGTTACCAAATAGATAAGTTATCACTGGAATCAAAGGCACACACAGTTCCAAATAAAAACGGCAAGGAGCCCGCGCTTTTGACGGACGCTAAGCAAGCCCTACGAGCGCACAAAAAACTGGAGGAAGGGTGGGGTCATGACCCCTGACCCTTTAGCCAGCCTTAATGGCATGGTCTCCGTTTAGAAAATTCCTGCCGAATAAGTGCTGCCCAAAATATGTTTCAGCACGGAACAAAAATAGAAACCAGTCCTTAGCGCTAAGCCAGACTGTGCTGTGGCACAAGCCACAGACAATAACAGAGGGGAAAGAAACGTGCCCTTTCCGTCCTGGGCAACAAGAGCATGCGAGTCTGGCCCACGTTTCTAAGAGGAGGGGCTTTCAAGGTCAGCCCCACCGGTTTAACACAAGAGGCATCACCAGGATGAGCTAATTCTTCCCAAGGCTAAGGATAGAGCACTTGCCCAGCACCAGGTTCTGCCCCAGGCATCCCCAAGACCACAGAAGATGAAGAAGGAAGATGGAGGGAAGAGGAGGAGGGAGGTCCTTTCCTTCCCCCAAACACGGATCTGGTAAAGAAGCTGACCTATGGTCACGGATGTTCCTGACCGGCTCTTGAGAGCTAATCTCTTCATTTTCTCCTGGGTTTTATGCTGCTGAGGCCCTATTCCTATCCAGAGAGTGAACTCTGACAGGGAGCAAAAGGTTGAAGGTGTGACAGGCTCACCAAGAGTCCTCACTGACTCAAAGTCCTTTGCGTGCACTAAACGCCAGTGGCGACGACGGGGACTTAAGATTTACGTCTCTGACTCTGCACAACAGGCAACTGAAGTTTTCGATAGCAGAGGGACAAGGCGAACCCAGAGCATATGAGAACACACTTCACCGGAGATTTATCTACACGCAAGCTGCACGTGTGACTTGGACACAACCACTCAGGAGGAAATTGGTATGTATAGTAATAAGAGTCACAACAGAGCTGGCTACAAAGTGGTGAGTCAAGGGTAAAACCCAAGGGGGGGGGGATCAAAAAAAACAAAACAGAAACAAAAAAAAAATGCAGTCACAAATTAAACTCCTCTGAGTGCCAATATTCTCAAAAAAAAAAAAAAAAAAAAGACTCAAAAGTAACGCACAAAATGACAAGCAACATACCACATAAAAAGGGATTCTACTAAAGAAGCACCAGAAAAACCCAAGTAGTGAGCCCGAGACCAGAGAAAATGATCAGCAATATCCATCCTGACTGTAAAGCTTTGATTCCGGGTTCAGCATAGATTGATTTCAGTCGTTTTAAACATTGCATGCAAATGCTGCTCGTCGCGATTACTGGAATTTTTGGCGCTCAACATATTGCCTGCCCCGGCAGGTGCCAGGCTCAGCTCATCTCAATCTCCAGGCCCTCCAGGAGGTCAGGTCGGTTCCTCGAGAGGCAAACCAGATGGCCTAGGGGAACTCAGGCGCCTACCTGGAGGCTGGGAGTGGGTGAGAGCGGCCTGGCCTGGGGCGCAGCCTACCTCGTTTGTTCTGGGATCCGTGCTTCTTGGCTAGGGCCAGTTCCCTCTGGATTCGGTTCTCCAGGTACTCCTGCTTCTTGGCCAGCATCTCCTCGGTCTCCCGGAGGCGGGCCAGGGCCTCCTGGGGGCTGGGAGCGGCGCGGGCCCGGGAGGAGCGGGTCCCTTTGAAGATCTTGCCCAATTTGCTCATGGTTGGGCAGTGGGGGGCGAGCGGCCCCGCGCGCGGCGCTCGGGAAGGGACAGGTGAGCCACACCGCGGCCACTGCGAGCAGACTGCGCTCCCAGGAGTCAACAAGTTGTTGAGCAGGTGACTCCCACTCCCGGGCATTTCCTGGCCCGGCCCCGCCCCGCCCTCGGATGGCCACCCCGGAGGAGGAGGCAGGGCGGCCGGCGCCACTGGCCCCTGGGAGTCGGGGAGCCGGGAAAAGTTGGCCAGAGAGAGAGAGAGGGACTGTCGAGAAAGAATTGGCTGGGAGAAAAGCAAATCCACATTCCAAGGGCCTCTGGCCTGGCTTGAAAGACTGGGTCTGGGTGCAGGTGGATATGCCAAAGCTTTTTTTGAGAGTGTGGGAGAGCTCCCAGTACTGCTGTCCCATCATGAAGGTCGTCTGGGCTCGCTCAGATGGCTTCTTGCATTTGTGCGGTCCATCCAGGAGGCTGATGTGTGCATGCTTACCCTGTGGGATTAGATGACCCTCCACAAGACTTCAAGTGGGTGGAAGATGGCGGCCACCTCTTTCTTTTCTTAATGGCAGGCAGCTAAGTCACCAGAGCGTTCCCACCTCTACCAAGGCTCAGACCGAAGGGGCCACCCGGTCCTCAGACTGCATCTCCAGCCTGCACCTGTCTCCACCAAACCTCAGACTGCCCCAGCTCCTCCCACCTTATAGTCCTCTCCAGGGCTGGAATTAAGGGTGTGAACTGCCACTGCCTTGCCTCTGTGGCTAGTTCCACACTCTGGTCTTCAGGCAAGCTTTATGTGTTAGATCATAAGCAAAATATCACCACGCTTGCCGAAATAGTTATTTCTGCACATTTATTGTGAAAAGCTTAAGAGAAGCTGCTAACTCATTTGCAAATATACGAAAGTACTTTGGTGAAGCTTCCTCACAGACCACAGATTGAAGGATGAAAACGGTTTATTTTTCGCCAACAGATGAAGAAGTACCTCAGAAGCGACTGTAACGGGCTAAATTCACACAAGCATTCAGAAAATGGAAGAGATTGCTCAGGCTTAAATCTTGGCTCTTCCGTCTTCCCAGTGAAGTCTGTAGGAATGCCCCTGTGTACCCAAGCAAGCTAGCCTAGGCTACATAGTAAGATTATCTTCTTTTCGTTGCTTTTACACCACGACTCCACCCAGTATGTCCAGAAGAGAAATTCACTAAATGTTTAATTACAACATGAAGGGAAGAGGTTGTTATGAGGCCTTGAAAGTAATAGATCCTATCGGGGGCTCTACCCATGGAAAACAAAACTGACCCTTCTTTTAGAAGCTATTAATAGCCTACAGCATTTCATCTGGGGGTAAGGGTTATCCAATCCCAATCGCCCAGCTCTAAATTCATATACATATAAGCAACACTAAATGGTCTCAGCAGGATATATATATATATATATATATATATATATATGTATGTATATATATACACATACATACATATGTATATGTATGCATATGGTTTTATATATATACATACACACACGGTCATATATATGTATATGTACATGTGTCTGGTCATGATCTTGAGAGGGAGTCGAGGGGACAAGGGAGGAGTTAGGGGCTGAAAATGATGAAAATACAGGACTCATATATGAGGGTCTCAAAAATTTTTGAATTAAAAAAGTTACGGATAGCATAAGCATTATTGAATTCATGTATGCTTAAATAGAAATGTCTCCAGCATATTAAAACACTACCTGGTGGCTTACCAATTACACATTCTTTTTGTTGGCAGCGGTGCCCAGAGGATATTGAAGAGTCAGAACGTGACAACCAACAGGGTAATGACCCGTGTAACCAGCTCCTGTCCACAGTTTCATCTATCAGATGCACACAGGCCACCTCTATATTCCTCCACTGTGGTGTAGATACTAGGGGATATCATTAAGAACAAATTTTAACGTTTTTCTGTTTCACAGGGCTCGCAGCTTAGGGAAGAACCCAGAAATCAAAACAAATTATCTCACAAGTGGTAGACTTGGTAAAGGACAGTTCTAACAATTTCTTAGGAGAAATCTGGGGGTTATAAAAACCAATAGAGAAAATGGATCTTGTTGTGAAAGCAAAGAGGAGGAGGAGGTTGGGAGAAAAGGCGAATATTAAGCTGTAATTTGAAAAATTCATAGAAGCCACCGATGTCGTACAAGGAAAATACTGCCCAAGTAAAAAGAAATTCCTTTGTCCATTTAGCTGTCAGTTTTCTTCAGTGGATTTGTTTTTTTGAGATTTATTTGCATTGCTTTTGCCTGAGTGTGCACCCTGGGGAGTCTCCTCAGAGGCCGGGAGAGACTCAGCGCCTTTGGAGTTGGAGTTACAGGTGTTTGTAAACCACCCAATACCGGTGCGGGGACCTTGACTCCAGTCCTCACGACACAACTGTGTGGTGGCTGGTTTTATACCAGCTTGACACAAGCTAGAGTCATCTGAGAAGAGGAACCTTGGCTGAGGAAATATCTCCATGAGATTGGGCTGTAGGTGGTGGGCCTGTAGAGTATTTTTCTTAATAAATGGTTGATGGAGGGGCCCTCAACCCGTGGTGGATGGGTGGAGCCATCCCTGGGCTGGTGGTCCTAGGTTCTATAAGAAAGCAGGTTGAGCAAGTCATGGGGAGCAAGCCAGTAAGCAGCACTGCCTTATTTGAGTTCCTGCTTTGACTTCCCTCAGGATATATAAGCCAAATCTTTTCCTCCCCAAGTTGCTTCTGGTTACTCTGGTGAATTGAATAAGAATGGCTCCCATAAATTTGAATGCTTGGTTATCAGGTAGAAAGTGGTGCTACTTGACAGGGAATGGAAGGTGTGGCCTTGGAGTAGGTGTGGCCTTGTTGGAGGAAGTATGTCACTGAGGATGGATTCATGTTCAGCCAGACCTAGTGTCTCCCTCCCTCTTCCGGCTGCCAGCAGATCCTGGTGTAGAGCTCTCAATGAGCTCTCCAGCACAATGTCTGCCTGTGCTTGCCATATGTCCTGCAGTGTTGATAGTGGAGTAAACCTCTGAACTGCAAGCCAGCCCCGATTAGATGCTTTATTTTATAAGAATTACCATGGTCTTGGTGCTTCATCACAGCAATAGTAAGGCTAACTGAGGCAGTCATGGTCTTTCATCAGGCAATAGCAACCCTAACTTAGACAAGCAATAAGTACTCTTAATCACTGAACCAGCTCTACAAACCCTTGAGGGTATTTTTTCAGCCTTCCTTCTTGTTAAGGGAAGACAGACAATTAAGAAAGTAGTATATTGTATTATATAATATGGAAGAATGCTAGAATTGCAATACAACATACATTACACGCAACATGTGCAAATATTGCCAATCTGTGGTATTAGAGTTTGAAGGAGTCCAAGGATTGGTGAGATTTCCTTCTAAGAAACAGAGTTCAGATCACATGGGGTGTATACAAGTACATTTTATCCAAAGAGATAATATCAGTCAATAATTAAAATAAAGAATGTAGTCCGTGATTTATAATTCTACAGAAAACTAGTCACCCCGCATAATGTGTAACACTTTTAGAACCGCATGTGGTATGCAAAGCAAAGCACATTTAAAATTAAAAATCATTTCCTTCCATTAATATATAAGTTCAGTGGGAGAAAGATAATGCTTGCCAGCAAGTAAACCATCCACACATACATTAGTGTTTAATGCAGCAGCGCTACGTAGAAAAGGAATTTGTAAATCAATGATTTAGAAGCTGAAAATAACACATTAATCTTCATTCACTATTCATCCTACAAATGTGGTTTCATAAAGAGTTCTCAGCGTCTGGAGTATTTTTCATTTTCTAATCTCAATTGATCTCAGCTAATAAGAAGGCTGTTGTTCAAAAGAATGATCTTGTTCAAGATGATTTACCGCAGTTAAGATGGCAAAGGAAATTGGAAATTTATAGATCTGTTAAAGAGACCTAGGTGTCAGGCTAATTGATACATCTTGGCTACCCTTTGAAATCGCATCCATTTTTAGAATGTCAAATGAGCTCTCAAAGCAACAAAAAAAGAATCACCCTTTAAACGCACTGCAGAACAGCATCAAATAGTTATCCATTAAGCAGCTCAACAAGCATGTATACATTCTTTCCATCAGAAGTTCTTGTCTCTCAGAACCAAATGCACACGGCATGTAATACTCTTGCATAATAACTAGCACAGAGGTAATCCTAGTGAAAAGTGGCGATTTTGAAAAAAAAAGAAAAGTTTGATTGCTCTAATTCAAAATGAAAGCATATAGTGCCTGTTACTAGTTTTGTCTGGACAGCTCTTTATCCACCCCTGCTTAGAAAGATGTTAAAGAATCCAAAGGTTCTTAGATTTGATTGTAAACCCGAATACTTGTCCCCACTGAAATGGCTCATAAGGTGCTTGGAACTATAGTTACCTCTTGCGAAAAGTGTGTCAGTAGACTTAACACAGAGCACCCTATAAACACTTGATCTTGCCACAGTCATCCTATACAGCCAAAGAAAGTCAAAACCTACAGTAATTTCCTGGCTTGCTATACATAATGCCAGCGTCCTCAACAGATGTCTTCAAGCCCAGACAGACAGTGATAGCATGTTCTGTTATTCACAGTATCCCCTGTGTTACTGGAGTTTTTAGAGTCAGTGCCTGAGTCCTAGCCTTGTCCTTCAATCCCCAGCAAGACAGTCAAGCAGACAAGTAACATGAAAAGCCGAAGGAGGAGAGAGATTAATGTGCTCACACCGGGAAAAGAGGTCCAGGGATGTGCCCAAATTCATTTTGGATCCTGCCTAGAAGTTCACATTTAAGGGGAAGTCAAGAAATGTGTATAACAGAGCAGTCATGGTCAAAGTGTGATCTTACCCATCATGATCTCTGCTCATCTCCTGAAAGGTGGTCTGGCAACTTGTCAGAACTGCATGGAATCTCTTTCTGGAAGACAGGCTTCTCCTCTGGTTGACATCATCATCCTTTGGCCGCCTTCTTCTCCCAGCATGGGATTCTTGCTGAAATTCCAATTTTCCAAGGGCGA